TTTGCTGAAAAAGACTCTTGTTCTATTTGTATTGGTCTTTACACCAGGCTTGTAAGGTTCTGCTTTAAGATTAGAGCTGAAAAACCCAAATGAAGCAGAAGTTGGCTTCAGATTGCAGCATTCAATCTGTAAAATCACTAAAGGGCTGCATTTAATGTCTGATAACAGAATAATGTTGCTAAGGATGGATCTGATTGTTTAGCATCACTTCCTGTGAAGTCAGAAACCGTACAATGATAATACCTCCTAATGTTCCAGATGGTTTTGCTCCAAATTTATCACTAAAGAAAAATATTTTTACTTCTTTTCTTCTGTGTTTCAGCAGATGTTGGTCTGCAGAAGGTCCTACAGGAACATAAGATCAGTCTGAGGACGAGATGTGAACGTGTGACTGAAGGAAGTGATGAAACAGGAAGCGATGACACAGGAAGTAGAACCCTCCTCAACAGGATCTACACTGATCTCTACATCACAGAGGGACAGAGAGAAGATGTTAACACCCAGCATGAGGTGAAGCAGCTGGAGAGAGTTTCCAAGATCCAGAACCTCCAAGACTCTCCAATCAGGTGCCATGACATCTTTAAATCCTTCCCTGACCAACATGGAGCCATCAGAGTGGTTCTGACCAATGGCGTTGCTGGAGTTGGAAAAAACTTCTCAGTGCAGAAGTTCACTCTGGACTGGGCCGAGGGCTTGGAGAATCAAGATGTCAGTGTGGTGGTTCTGCTTTCGTTCAGGGAGCTGAACTTGATCAGAGATGAGCAGCACAGTCTTCTCACGTTGCTCCATGTTTTCCATCCAACACTCCAGAAGTTCCCAGCAGAGCAGCTGGCTAAATGCAAACTGCTCTTCATCTTTGATGGCCTGGATGAAAGCAGACTTTCAATGGACTTCAACAACAGTCAGCTGGTTTCTGACGTCACACAGAAGTCATCAGTCAACGTTCTGCTGACAAACCTCATCAAGGGGAACCTGCTTCCCTCGGCTCTCATCTGGATAACTACCAGACCTGCAGCGGCCAATCAGATCCCTCCTTCATGTGTTTCCAGGGTAACAGAAGTACGAGGCTTCACCGACGCCCAGAAGGAGGAGTACTTCAGGAGGAGGTTCAGTGATGAAGAGCTGTCCAGCAGAATCATCTCCCACATCCAGACCTGCAGGAGCCTCCACATCATGTGTGGAATCCCAGTCTTCTGCTGGATCACTGCTACGGTTCTGGAGAACATGTTGACCTCAGAGCAGAGAGGAGAGCTGCCCAAGACCATGACTGACATGTACTCACACTTCCTGCTGGTCCAGACAAAGAGGAAGAACAACAAGTACCATGGAGGACATGAGACAAGTCCACAGGAGCTGATGGAGGCTGACAGGGAAGTTCTTCTGAAGCTGGGGAGGCTGGCGTTTGAACATCTGGAGAAAGGAAACATCATGTTCTACCAAGAAGACCTGGAGCAGTGTGGTCTGGATGTCACAGAGGCCTCGGTGTACTCAGGAGTTTGTACAGAGATCTTCAAAAGAGAGAGTGTGATCTTCCAGAAATCAGTCTACTGCTTTGTTCATCTGAGCATCCAGGAGTTTCTGGCTGCCGTCTACATGCTCCACTGCTTCACCAGCAGGAGGTCAGAGGTCATCAAGACGTTCCTGGGAGAAAAATACAATGAAACATCTCTAGATGAGTTCATGAAGAAAGTCATGGAGAAATCCCTCAGCAGTAAAAATGGCCACCTGGACCTGTTTGTCCGCTTCCTTCATGGTCTCACTGTGGAGTCCAACCAGAGACTCTTAGAGGATCTGCTGGGTCAGACAGAGAACCGTCCAGAAACCATCCAGAGAATCATCACCAACCTGAAGGAGATGAACACTGATAGAATCTCTGCTGACAGAAGCATCAACATCTTCTACTGTCTGGTGGAGATGAACGACGTCTCATTTTATCAGGAGATCCAACGGCTGCTGGATTCAGGGAAGCAGCTCTCAGTGACTGACTGTTCAGCTCTGGCCTTCATGCTGCAGATGTCAGAGGTTCTGGATGAGTTGGACCTGGAGAAGTACAACACATCATCAGGTGGACGACTGAGACTGGTTCCAGCTGTGAGGAACTGCAGAAAGGCTCGGTGAGTCCAGATGTTTTCATTGTGTGAATGCTGATTCAGCACTATTGTCCTCCTGTTTCTTCTTCTTTCTTCAAGTTGATTCTGGATGTTTTTGGCCTTTAACTACTTCCTTCATCCTCTGGATGATTTCAGCCATTCAAACATCTAAACATTCAGTTCATCCAGGACAGCTGCAGCTTCTGGTTTTTACACATTTTGATAATTTAAAAATATTTAACTTTTTATCAGTTTTCATGTTGAAATGAAGAGAAAACCCTGAATTGTAGAAAATTTATATTTTCTCTGACAGATCCAATCAACCAAAGAGACATTTTTAACTTTAAACTCCTCTTCACTCATTGAGCTGCTGCTCCATAATTCACCTTTTAGGATCTTTGACTGTTTTTATAAAATAATTGTTTAGGTTTGATGGAAAGTTGAACCATTAAAATAAACTTTGTGAACAGTGTTGATCTTCTTCATCCCGTCATCATCCTCACCTCTTCCTCCTCCACTAGTTTCCTCTGAGTTTGTAACTGAGACCAAAATGTGGTGATTGTTGTCTGGTTCCAGAAAAAGTCCTAGTTTCTGTCAGATCCTCCCAAAGGTCTAGTCCAAGTCAGTGTGACTTGTCAGAGCTGTGAGCAGTTCCTCCTCCTCTCCATCATCTCCAGTAGTTTCCTTCATTCAGCTCAGTCAGCCTCTTCATCAGCTGCTGCAGCTCCTTTGAGGCTCTGATGCTGCAGAGAAACTGAACTTTCCTTCACAGATGATAGAAGATCTTCAACATCTGACTGAGCTGAAGGTCTGAGGACATGAAGTCTGGACCAGAACCAGAACCAGAACCTGGACTTTAGTCAGGAACTGCACAGACTCTCCGTCGGGTCAAACTCAGTAAACTGAAGATCAGATGTTGATCAGATGATGACATCATGATGACATCACTGTTGTCATATTTTATCTATGATCCAGATTGATTTCATTAGAACTGAATTTATTTCTTCTCTCATCACAGACTAGGTGACTGTTTGGTCCAAAACGCTGAATGTGAAGTTTTGGCTTCAGCTCTGAAGTCCAACCCAGATCTGACTGAACTGGAAATAAGTCAGATCATCATATATGATGCTGGAGACTCTGATATGAAGAATGTGTCTGAGATCCTGCACAGTTCAGTCAGTAAAGTGAAGACACTGGGGTTTGTTTTCTCTATTTATACAATAAAATCATTCATTGATAC